CTTATTTTGGTGCTGCGACGTGGTGGCCACAAATTGTACTAGTGTCGGTACATTTAGCCTTAAGAGAATGGTGCAGGTCTCATTTCGGTTAAAATCCCCGATTTTTCGAATATTGCAAACAAATTTTTAAACTACAAAATTTATTTTATATATTTATGGCTCCGACAATGTTTTTTGAACAAAACTATTCTTTAGAAAAGGTTATGTGTAATTTTTTGAAAAAAACGTTTTTGGTTTTTGCTAATTTGCGCATGAAATTGTTGCTTTTTTTCCCCTCAAAAACCGCTCTAAATGTTCTCCAATTATGTAATAAGGGGCGACAGAGAATATGATGCTTGTCCCATTTTCGGGTATTGGTCGGTTTTTCGAAAATTGCAACAACAAAAAAATAAAAACCGCAAAATTGTAGAGATTTTTGCCTCAGATAAAGTTTGTTGCACAAAATTAGCTTTTTCAGAAAGGTCATGTACATTTACAAAAAAAAAACAAAAAAAAAAACGTTATTCGTTTTCGCTGATTTCTGATCGAAATTAATGAAACACATATGTTGTTCTGCCATACATACAAGGAATTCTAAGACATTCTAATATTGCGAAAAAGTATGTGCTATTGGAGTATCTAGCTTTTACTTTCCCCCCAATACTACAGTATTGTTATAGCCTCAACACAAACCCGAATTAGTCCGTAAAATCAGTGTCAGAGATTCTTTTTAGCCACAACTTCACTCGCACAGAATCAGGATTAGAGTTTATTTGAGCTGGCTCTCAATTTTATATCCTTGATACGGGATGTTTGTTTGTATAGATGTATTAAATATCTGTGACCCAGATGAATAAGCTGATAAGTCATGAATGCTTGAATTTTACATGAGAGCCAAAAAACAACTATCAGTTGATGCTGTAAATCAGGGATTAATGATTTCAAACTTAACCTGTTTAAACACAAATAGTTTAGTTTGAAATCATCATACCCTTAGTTACTTGAGTTGAAAGGTGATTTTTGCTCTCCTATAAAATTTAAGCGTTAATGACTTATTCTCTTATTCACCAGGGTCAAAAATGTCACACACAACTGTCAGATTAGAAGCTTTTGACCTAAAACTTTAATTATAAATCATGCAAATTAATTTTGACATACTAGTAAAAAAGCAAGCAATTCTGCAGATATATGTATTATTTAATACTGGAAACCACTTGACAACTGAATACACGCAAATAAATACGAAAAAGAATTTTAAAAAATACAGGCAACATTTTAATAATAATTTTGACTGTTGCTCTCTCCATTATCACTGAAAGTCACCTGAAGTTGTCCAAATTGTGAATTTTTTCTTGTAAATATGTGTAATCTTATTTCTTTAATTGGATTCTTTTTATTGTATTTCAAAGGAGAGCTTGAAAAATTGTATATCAGTGCGACTGCCCAACTTACTGCGTCAAAGAAAAATTGGTCTAGTAGTTGTGGATTCGATTGCTGGTCCATTTCGTGCAGATTACGACCTGAGGCAGGGTGCTGTCACAAGAGCACAAGTACTTAAGAGCATTGGCCAGGAGCTACATATGCTAGCAAATATTCACAACTTGACTGTAATTTGTGTCAACCAGGTGAGTTCAAAATTATCAAGTTAATGAAAAAATGTAAATGTGTTAAATTATTAGAAGTGCTTAACATAATTATTTCATTAGTGCGTTTTGGTAACATACAGAGCATACCATTTCTCAGACAATCCGGTGATTATAGGAGCTTTACCCAAATATACATATGGCAGTGTTGCATTTGTTAAGAATATAGCCACTAATTGCTAAGGGTTAGTGCCATTTCTGTCCAGAGAAGGGAAAATAGCATCTTGCATATTTTCGAGAAATCCTACAATAGTCCCTATTTCACAGCCTTATTAACCCTAATTTATGAAAATATTATCAAAAATTATTTTACATCAAGTTTTCTAGAAGAGTAGAGTAAAGGTCTTCCTATCTTGTTAATCGTCCAATTTACAAAGAAACTAGAGTACAAGAAATAATTCATAATACAATTTTACTTAACAAAACATCGTGCCAAGTATGTCAGTACGAAGGCAGCTGACCGAATATGAATATCCAATCCATCCAAGTAACAAATAATGCTATGTGCTTTTAATTGAAATAGAAGCACTTACATTTGTTGTCCCGAGACCTTAAGTTTTGCACTAGCTGAGAGAAAGGGTTAAAACACCCTAACAAATAGGTGTTTCAATAGGTAAACATCTGACAGTTATTGTAAGCTGAGTTCCACCTACCAGTGACTGGATGAGGCATCGCATTTCCTGTTGCCAATTGGGAATGCGAAGCCAGTTCCTGACTATGGTGGGTTGAATGTGGGTACATTAAGCACACCACATACAATCTTTAGCAAGTTCATAATTAATTAAGGCTGTGTAATAAGATAGATGGGTGCATTTCACAGGTAACTGCAGTGGCTGGAGAGAACAAATCTCTCTCCGTTCCAGCATTAGGATTAGCTTGGGCCAATCTAGTGACAACACGACTTCAGTTACATCGTTCAGATCGGATGCTGGCTAACCACGATGGTAGTAAAGCACATATTGCTGAAAGACTACTTGAAGTAGTTTTTAGTCCATATCTTGCCACAAAGCGTGTTCCTTTTGTGGTAACAGAGACTGGAGTGCAGGGACTGAGCAAACAAACTATTTGAAACCATTTATTGTGAAACACAATTGTAAACACACTACAAACTATTTCTTCCATTGACATATTGGTCAAATTTATTCATATACCAGTACATTAGAAAAATGTATCTTTACAACAGTGATATTTTTCCCACATACATTTTCACTTGGTGCAACATATGGTATCCTTTGATTTGCTTCAGTTAAATCAAGTAAATTTAATTATAAATACTGCCTGATCATGTAATCGAAGGACACAGCAGCAGGCAGGCACGGGGCTCTGAGGATGCATTTGTGTCCCTCACTCTTTTGACTGAGGCTGGGCAAAAGGCTATCGGAAGGCCTTTGGCAGCAGTTATTGTCTCAAACAAAAAGCAGCAAGCATGCAGACTGCAATGAAATAAATCTCCCTTGCATAGAATTCCCTCAGTCTTCTGACTCTGTCGAGAAAATACATACTTGTATGGTAAAACAAAGCTTCCTTTAGCTACCATTCAGTAACAAAAAAAAAAAAAACACAAAGAGAAGAAACACAGTTGTCACACAATCAACTGTGCTACTCAATGAGCAAGTATGATTGGAAGGTGGAATTCTGAAATGCTGCCCAGTCATCTCCTACGGCCTACATTGTCATTCATACCCCAGGTGAGATCATCAAGGAAAGGAGACACACCTAGAGCCAGGGGCAACATGCTGGTTGCTGCTGCTGTAGCACATCCCAAGGTTATGCTGACATTCAACATGACAGCATATACCGTGCCAGTCACTGCAGGCTGTGTGCTGGTGAGTGTGTGCCTGTTGGCACTCACACCAGCTGCTCGTTATTCGAAAGTCAGAGCTGCAGCAGCGTAGCTGACAGAGGAGTCCACCATGCGACGAGCTTGGCTAGATTGTGCGTATTTTAAGAATTTTAGTGTCATCTTGTGACCATTGGATCCTGATTTTTGTAAGTGATGCACAGCCTGTAAAAAAGGAAATCCTATAGTAATTGGAGTTTCATTGAAATATGTGCACTTACAATTGTACTAGATTCAACATTATGAACTTCTTGAATCTTCGCAAAGATCTACTTTTCTACACATTATTAAAATATACAATGTTTCCCAAGCTAAAAAAAATAATTTAAACAAACCACACAAGTTGCAGTCATCAGATGTCATTAAAACAAAATATAAAAAGAGGCAGATTTAAGTAAAATGAAACGGGAAAAAAAACAACTGAAAATTACATTCAAGCAGACATACTACTTGTTTACACAGGCAATTCCAGTTATATATAATGAGATGGAGCATTAGATAGCATCTCTGAATGGGGTCTTAAATGAATTAACACAAAATTGTAGCATCGAATAATAAGGTACAGGCTTAAATGTGATGTTCATTTCTCACCTGCAATAATACACTAATAGGATGACGCCCACATATAGTGTTTCCATACTTTTTCAAATAGTCAGTGAAGGCCTGAGGATTCAGTGTTTCAATAATATCCATGCCCTGTTGCAAACCAACATGTTTAAGAACAAAGAAAAAGAATTGAGATTTGTAAATATTGAAATGCGTAGCACACCTTTTAATATCAAAACTTTACAAATCTACTTTGCACATACAGTTGCTTTTCATAAAGGAACCAGGAAGATGGTATCAATTCATAAATAGAACTTCTCTGGTGGAATTAAACTCTGGTAGATTTCTGAGGTACAAAATAATTGACAAGATTCATACTGACTATATAGCATTAACTACAAGGCCTGCACAGTCCTAATCATTATCTCAGCAGTCCAGGTTACTGGGTCCAAGGCAGTGTTACAGTCTCGACCACAACCCTAGTTTCACCACAAGGGCTCACATGTATCAAACCAAAGACATGGTATTTGATAAGTCATTCAAGGTCAGAATATCTAACTTTCACTATTAATACTACAATATGAAATGTTTCTTCCTTCTAATGGTATTAATGATGTTACAATCTTAATAACAATTTCTGATAGAAGATAAATGTTTACTAATGCAGTCTCAATCAACAAGAATAATATGCAACAAAGTGTGGGATGAAATAGTTTTCTCCAAATAATGGAAACCACATAATATCCTATTGCAACTATTGAAAACCATCAAAATCAAACTAAAAACAATCATGAACTGATTTATTGAAGACTGCATCTGTTAAGGACATGAAAACCAGATATGCCCAGCAATACATTCACTTGTGATTTTAACACTTCAATGTGGAATGCTGTCTTGTCACATTCCTCTGACATTGTTCATTCTGTGCCCACACATCAGGGGAATTTCCCTCACTTGGCAAGTTGCTTTGTGGAGATGGTCACTGTAGTGGCATTTTGAGCCTACTAACACCATAACACATTGTCACTTTCTCTTCACCCACTTTGCAATGCTACCCCACCCAACCTAGGCTTTGAGGGGGTCAATGAACAAAGCTTGCCCCCTGCAGACTCCCACAGACAAGTTTGGCAAGGGCACTACAAAGACAAAAGACCTTTCAAAACAGGCTCAATAGAAGGTCTCGGACCAATTTATGACTATGTTGATTCAGATGGTTGGTTTCACGAAAGGTATACCACTTGCCCTACCCCCCCCCCCCCCTTCACTCATGCCTGTTTCCTTGATTGTTCAACTTGCCTCTGTGCATCTCTAGGCATGCTTGCTGTGTGAACCATGCAGAATAAACACTAAAATGTTGATTGACAGCACTATAACCATCAGTTGCTGTTGGATCCCTTGTCACTCAACCAGTCTCCACATGTTCAGGATCTAATACAGTTCATGGTATTCGAATGATGTCACAAGCAAAGGATGCTAACTGCATGGCATTGGTAAATTGTTGCATTGCCCCAAGAAGCCACACCCAGATACCTTCCCACTCGAGAGAGGTCAGAGTGAAGATCAGCCCCATTCCCTAAGAGTTGTTGTTGGGTTTTATACTGTACAACTATAATATTCAGCATAATATATAATGTTCTTGCATCAAGCAAATGTAAGTTTCAGAAAAGTACTTTATCAATAAAACTTACATTGTGAATAGTAAACGAGTACATAAAATATACAGTACAGTTGTATAAATGGGCAAGAGTTTTTGTCAAACAAATTATATTTTAAATCCAATTTGTATTTAATTCAAATTAGGCTTACCGTGCGATCCAGGGTTTGGATTGACTGGTAGATTTCCCCCCAATTGTGATCGTAGTAAGTGTATCTGAAACGGTTGCCCCAGTGGCAAAAATCTGACGATATCACAAACAGATTCTGGGGGTCTGCCAAGTAACGAGAGAAGATTCTACCATACAGAGCCTCTTTCTCCAAAGTAAGTGATCCTACTAATACAGGCACCACAGAGAAGTTGTCCTTGTAGCTGGAAGCATTAGTAAGATTTCACAATCAGGGATAATGTCAAATGAACATTCTCTATAATTTTTATCACTGATGGCCCAAGAAAGACTATAGCAATCCGTTAATGTAATGTAGGAAAAGTACAACTGTACTGAATTTCTCATCCCCACTCAGAAAATTAAACTCATGATATAATTCTATAGGACTTACTCCTCCATGACTTTGGCAAGATAAGGGAGTTGCATTTCAATACTATGTTCATCCTCATCCACTCTCATGTTCATCCATTCAAATTGCCCGGTAGCATCCAGTTCAGCATACACTGTAACAAATCGTATATTTTATTCATCCTCATCCAACAAATCATAAGTGTCTTATGTTAAAATGAAATGACAAAATTACCCTGAGCATCAACTTTCAAATCATAGAAGGGAGTCTCAACTTTAGCAGCAGAAGACAATGCACAACCTCCTAGACGAACATGGTGTGATGGACCCAGTACAAAGACCCTTCGTCTGCAAGTGCAAATTCACTTTCAGGCACTACCTGCTAATTTGTCAAAAAATAAAGTAAAGTGACACTCACACAACTGCAGGACTGATTTGCCGGAAGGCAAAGCCACTAACTGCTCCACAATACTGGTACCCAGCATGACTGTCAACAATCAAATATTAGGAATACAAATAATAATAAAAAAATAAGCAATTGCAAGGCAGACCCCTTTTCAGAAACAATTAATTTCTTCTTTCCCAATTACTCTAGAAATTACATACGGTGCAATTATGGCTCGAGCAGGTCCGTGGGTTAAATCAGCATTGTTGAGCCATGTTTCCAATTGGGTATTCAAGTCTTTAACTGGAAAAGAAAGCAATCAAAACCTCTTATGAGAAAAGTTAGTGGGAAATTCATAATGCTCTGGATTTATTCAATTCGTTAAATAGCACTGTCAAGTCCTTGGGGTCAGTGACCTATATGCATCATGTAAAGGGCTTGAACAATGAGCATCAACACTGCACAATTATATCCTTAGACCTACCTTTGTCAGTGTACCAACTACCTCCATGGACCGCATGTCTCACAGCCATTACTGATAGCAGAAGTTACTCTTTTTACAGTGAAGATATCCGTGATCCTCCAAATTATTCTATATTAACGGGGGAATGAAAAATAAGGTGAAATACCTACAAAACAATGACCCAAACTACTCACAGTTGTTTTACTAACCCAACGATTGGCCGACAGAGAGCAGCACACGAACGTCAAATTACTTTTGATGGGTGAAAAATAATAACCAGAGATTAAGTGCCACTGGAATTCGTTGCGCACAACCGTTTCAGAAATCTAGAAAGATTTACAATGACTGAAAATATATTTTAGAAAAACGTCGAGAACCATTGTCTTTGAGCTTCTACGCCATTCGAAACTAACATATGTTTTACAGTGGTGCAATCATTTTGTGATTAAAAATTATCAGGAAATGATCACTCATTATAACTGACAAAAAACTTTTGCATGAACTCGTCTAACGAGTTAAACGAGGTATTAATTCTCTTAGGTGTAAAACGTTTGTTTTGAATGCAGAGTATTGCTGTCAAGAATCATCTTATTTAGATGCGTTCGTTTCGACAGTTGGCAGTTTTGCCAGGTATACCGACTAGAAACAATGAGCGGGAGAAAGTGATGGTTTACGAGAAGTTGCGAGTGTTCTCTTGTGGGACAACTCGACATGATCCAAAAGTTTCGGGATAATACACCTGATCTTTAATGATTAATTTTCCCTTAAATAATATTATTTAATATAATGCTGTGTATTTGAGTTCTTTGGTTCACTTGTTTGTTTGTAAAGAGCGCTTTTGATTTCAAAACGTTTTATGTCGCGAACGATTTAACGCTTTCAAGATGGGTATTCAGGGTTTAATACCATTTTTGGACAAGGTATCGTCTAGAATTAATATATCCCAGTACAAAGGGTGTTGTGTAGCCGTAGATGCCTACTGTTGGTTACATAAAGGTGCATATACCTGTGCAGAAAAATTAGCTAGAGGAGAAAAATGTGATGCGTGAGTATGCACAGAAATTTCATAAACTTGCTAAATATTGAAAAACATATTGACAATTTTTCTGGTTTTAGGTACGTGTATTACTGTATGAAATATGTAAATATGTTATTATCACATAATATTAAACCTATACTAGTCTTTGATGGAAGACACTTGCCAGCCAAAGCAGGAACAGAGAAAAAACGTCGTGAGTAAGTGAAAATATTTTTTAAATTAATGTAAAATGTATAAAAGGAAGATATGTGTAAATGTAATGATACCATGAGTGAGGATACTGTGTTAAAAAATGTCTATTCTTTAGATTGTTTCTCCAAAATTCTGAGAATGTTCCTCCTGTGATCCTAACTTATGTTTTGTGTAGGTCTCGAGCAATGAACCGCAAAACTGCCTCTGAATTGTTGAATGCAGGTCGTGTAGATGAAGCACGTAACTATTTGCGTCGCTGCGTGGATGTTACTCATACGATGGCACTTGCACTCATTAAAGAGTGTCGCAAAATTAATGTAGACTGTATTGTTGCTCCTTATGAAGCAGATGCTCAATTGGCTTATCTTAATCTTCAAAACATAGCTCAGCTGGTTATCACTGAAGATTCAGATTTGATATTATTTGGCTGCTCTAAGGTGAGACGTCTTGTATTTTACGAGTTCATTTTTTCTCTGATACATATCCTTCAAATCTCAGTATCCTACTTCCTCTTCTTGATATGCCCTAGTTTTTCCATCTTTATTCTTTATTTTCTTTCTCCTGTTTCTTTCTTATTCTTCTGTGATTTCACGCAATATAAAGGATTTTTGAACATATAGTAGGACTCCTGTTCCTGAGATGTTACGTGAAACCTATCCAGTTTCTATTAAAGTTTTCCAGTATTCAAAGTGGTTTTCAGTCTGACTATCTTTGTTAATGAAGTGTGCTTCTGCTTTATTTGTTAAAGATTGTGAACAAAATCTGTCGGCATGATTTGGGACAGATATAGAGTTCAAATTGACAAATAATCTCTTATCAAATAAGTTATAATTTTTATACATTTAAAATGAACAAATTATGATTATCGTATTGACAATGTTTTTGAATACAGATTGTTTTTAAGCTGGACCTTCAAGGCTATGGACTTGTTGTGGAACGTGATCGTTTGCACCTTAGTATGGGGTTACGTGCTGAAAACTTTAGCTTTGACAGCTTTCGTTATATGTGTATTTTATCAGGATGTGATTACCTTCCATCATTGCCAGGCATTGGCCTCAACAAGGCTCTCAAATTCATCAATAAGACAAGAGATCCGGACATCCATCGAGTAAGTGTGCGATGAAGATGATAAATGCACTTTGTATAATTGTAAAACTAAATCTCTTCAGTGTGAAAAATGCAGATTTGAGTGTACTAAAAAGAATAGTAAACATTTGAAAAGTACTGACTTTACTTCAATGTCATTTTTCTCTACATTATCTATATACATTTTTGGAATTGAAATTTTTTTTGATGATCACTCTTTGAAAAATTTATAGTACAGATGAATTAATGCTTTGCTGTTATGGATGCAGGCACTTCGACGTATGCCTAGTTATTTGAATATGACCCAACTGAAAGTGAGTGAGGAGTATCGTGACTCTTTTATGAAGGCAGATGCCACTTTTCGGTATCAACCAGTATTTGATCCTCGGTCACGTTGTTTAGTACCTCTGACAGACCCACCTGAAGGAGAGGAGACGCCAGCAATTGTGAATGAGCAGCTTCATCCAGATATTGCATTTCAACTAGCTCTGGGTAATATGGACCCATTCACTCTTGAAAGAGTAGACAACTTCAATCCTGACTGTCCCCAACAAGTATGTATATTCATATTATTCTTGTGTTTCAATACATTTAAGCCACAAAGTATGTTTTCAACATAAATATGTGTGCTATCTAGTAAAATCAGAAATTGGAAAGCCTGGAAAAATGAGCAAATGGTGTTGATCGGTTTGAAACTAGATGATTATTTGTAGAAAGGAAAATAATTTTCTAATAATAGTGTGGGAAGTTAATTGAGTTATATTGCAATTCCACAGTTTGAACTTATCAAGAAATGTACTAGGTTTGTGTGTGTGTGTGTGTGTGTATGTTTGGGGGGAGGGGCATTTGTCAGCAAAACATCAGATTTTTTTAAACTTTCTTGCTACTGCTCTTTGCAGTAGAGAGCAAGTTATGGAATGCTGTCGGCCAAGAAGGCAAATTTTGGGTAGAAAAACTCTTGTTGCAAATTGTAATGGTATTGAAAAAGTGCATAAATGCAGTTGCTAAATTTGGGGGGGATCTAACACATGGTGTAGCCAGAATCTGTTTCGTGTGTCTTTGACACTGAAAAATCAATTGCCTGCAAAACATTAGTCTGTTTGTAAACAATGTTACGGCTACACTGTTCAGCGGATTTTCTCCAAAATTGATATTCCGCAATTTATCTGGCTGATATGGTCTCTTGAATTAGAAACTGATGTTTACTCATTTTTGTTTGGAGGGGGGGGAGTGCTTTACATTAAGCTTGTGGGTCATTTTTCAAAATAAAAAAAAGGCCACAAATTTTCCCATAAAATTTTGCTGGTAGATAGGATGAAAGATGCTTAAGAGAATGGTGCAGGTTTCATGTTTGTTGGAAATTGCAAAAAATGAAAATTTTTTGGGGTATCTTCCTTCAAGTACAGATATGATGATAACTTTTTTCCTTCTTGTTCTTCTTGCATATTTTTTAAATTTTATATAAGACTGTCTATTTATTTGTTATTTTTTTATACACATTTTAGACAGAACATTTTTATTGTTAACAGAAATGTTAATGTTTGCATTAAAAATTGTCTGTCCAAAATATATCAAAGTGTATAAATGAAAATAGTAAATATGTATTATGTAAGCTTTACAAATAGTGCTAGGAAGAACATTATTTCTCGCAACCATTTGCACATAGAGTAATGTAATATTGAGATGATTAATTTGGAATATTTATTGCTTTGAGTGTTCCATTCAGGGCTTAGAGATCATTCTAAATTATAAGTTTTATCTTGATGGATACATGTATGGACTTGCTGACTTTTATTTTAATTTTAATTTACTTAATCAATTTAATTATCGTTATAGTTTTAATTATAATTTTCTATTGAAAATAATTTTGTATACATTTTATTTAATGTGCAATAATTTGAGATTCACTTTTCAGCTATCTGGCCACTCTGTTTATAAAGTTACAATTTAACAATAAGAACATCGCAAGACAGCATCAAGTTAACAGAATAATCTCTCATTGTCAGGAAGTGCTTCTTCTGAAAGAAGGTGATATCGATAACTAGGTCATCGTGGATTTAAATTTTGTATTTCTGGTGTTAATATAAGGGGAGGTTAATGTAAGCTTAGAGGCTGTAATTCTGCTTAGAAACCGCTGTAATTGTTCTTATTAAAATGTGCTTTGAGGCTGTCATTCAAATCTTGAAAAGAAATATTACGTTTATTATTATTATTTGATCATTAAATCTTTTTTAAACTGCATTTATAACAGAAAGCAATAATAATGGCTGCTGTTGGTACGCATTGATAAAAACTAACTATTAATGTTATTTACAGTTAAAATATGCATTGCTCATCATTACTTCATTTATGTAGAACGTGAATACACTAAATGCAAGGACAAATAGGTTATTTTCATTTAAATATTCCAATTTTTTTTAAAAATATGTATTTTCCGTCCTCCAATCTGTAAGAATTTTTAAAAGGTTGTTGAATTGTTAGACAGAAATTGTCATATTATAATACAGTAAATCTGTCTCAAACGGAACCAGTGTTAAATGGAAAACCTGCCATGACAGACAGAAAAAAATCTCAAAATGGTACGATTTAATATGTGAAAATGACTTCTATAAGCCGGAAATGTGTCTTATGCTAGAACAGTGGTTTTTAGAGAAAGTAAAGTGATTATTGCGTGGCTAAGAAGGAAATTTAGTTTTAATTTTCCTGCACTCTCTTTGGAATTGTCACGTCCTGAGACAATGGAGTGAGGAGATAATAGGAGACAATAGAGGAGTATTTCCTCTTTACTCACTGACAATATCTAGTAAGCTTGTTGACTGTTTGGCTTAGACGTTCTCACAAAGCGTGATTTTGTCACTGTCTCTCTGAATACTTAATGTTGGTCATCAGCATCACATTCAATTCTCAAAAGTGTCAAATTAACTTAAGTCATAATTGAATTCCACAAATGCTATCTTGTCATCCTAGCATAGCAGTCATAGTTGACAACGTGCCCATCACACAATTTAGTGAGTGCTCTTGGTATAACGTAGGAAATATGTGTGCTAGTGTGTCAAAATTTTTTTAAAGAGTATATGGAAAATGATTCCACTATAGAAGAAGAAAACAAAATAAATGCTTGTCCTATATTTTCTCTGTGTTTCACTGTTGATTTCTTTTGTCGTGCAATATTTTCACTGATAAATTATGCTATATTAAGTTTCACTAACAAACGTATATCAAAAATACTGTTCTTAAGTTATATGATGAATTTTTGGCAACCTTCTATAAGAAGGAATACTCCCAAAATGGAAATTTTTAAGGAACTGTCAGGTTCAGTCTTAGACAGGTTTCACTGTATTGCATAACCATTAACTCTCACTGCCACATTAGGCCTGTGGGATCTATAGAGAATTTTCAATAGCGATTTTTAGAACTCCTGTGCCATTTTTGCTCGTGAGACCACCTCATAAATCTTGTTAGTATCTTGATTACCAATTTCTGATTTCAATAATCTTCCAAATCACTGAAATAGTAATCAGTGATTCAGTAAAAATATTTAGCTCTTGTTCAACAACATTATTGCAATAAATAATATATGAAGTACATACTGAAGTTTTCCAAAATATTCATTCTAAAAACTGGAGTGGGGCTATATTTGAGGGGGTGTTTTTTGTTATTAGTATTATAATTGTTATCCTTATTTTTAGGGGGTGGTAAGTCTACAGAAGAGAAGCTGGGGTTCTGCAGCTGCATCTACTCACCCTAGTATCTGGTTACCAGATTTCCCAGGCTTTCAACCTCTTCCAGAAAAGAAGCAATTTCCTGGCATGTTAAATTGTTCAGCAGTGCTTGATGTGACTCCTCTTCACAAGCCCAAGGTTCCTGGAGCAACTGCTTCAGATGAAGGTGAGAAGGGAAATGCAAGCAGCAAATTAATTGCATATGAAGAAATGTTCAAAATTTCAATTAGAGTATTGAAATCCTTAAACAGTTTGCTGGTTGTTCTGTTTTTGGAGGGATATCGCCATTGATGCAGTTGCAGTTAGTGCCAGAATTGTTTTTCCTTCTCAAATTTAATTTCATATTTTACTTCTTCGCTTATAAATTATGTAGTAAAGATGTCTAATAATATAATTTCATAGCAAACCTATATCAGTGCAATCTCTCTAGCATATGAATGAAAGAATATTAAGTTGTATTGCATATTAACATGCTTAAGGGATTTAAAAGACTTTGAAACACATGGTGAAATTATAAATCTCTAATTTATTATCTATGAACATCTTGCCCAATATTGCAAACTCCTATACAAATAAATATATAGAAGATTTTCTTTAGATAATAAATTGCTCCTATTAACTTATCAGCCTTGAAATGTATGAATTTATTATCAGACCTTTTCATAACAAATTTTACATTCAAGTATTTTACTTTTGTTAAAATTATTAGAACAAAAGATGACCGAAAAGCAGACAAATGCTTCTTAATTAATAAAATTTAGAGATATCAAATTTTGTACTGTATTTAGTTCATGACATTTACAGTAAACTTCATTTATACATTTCCCAGGGGACTGAAAGGGGAAAATATTTAAGTGAGAAAACTCGCATAACTGAAATTGGATATTGTGAACAAAACAAAAACTCAATATTTGTATAGTTGAAATATCTGAGTCTCCTCTGGCACTGTGTGGTTTAGAAATTGGTGTTGCTGACATATTGCGCAGAAAAGTTGGAAACAAAGAGCTCAGCAGGTTCAGATGGCATTCCCTCTATACTTTTGAAGAACTGTAAATTAATTTTCGCACAAATTCTCGGATTGTTATTTGGAATGTCTTTGAACAAGGGCACTTTTCTGAGTGAATGGAAGTCTTTATTTATACTACCCATCTTTAAGTCTTCTAACAGAAATGATATGATGAATTACCAACCGATTTCCATTCTGAGTGTTATCCCAAAACTTTTTGAATCATTCATTATGGATAATATCAGAGTTATTTATCCACATCTTTCAGAGAGAAAATTTGGTTTTATGCCTGGGAGGAATATAGAAGCTAATTCGTACTATTACTCTTGTTATATACTTGAAACTATGGAACATAAACTTGAAGTTGATTGTATATATAGAGATTTTAGCAAGGCATTCGTCTCTGTAAACCACGAGATTTTGCTAGTTAAACAGGAGCGGTTGGGGGTCAGTGGACAGTTACTAGAGTGGTTTCACAGTTACCTGGCTCATAGAGTTCTTTCCTTTCAAGTATTTCAATGCTAGTTAAATGCCTTGCATATGAATAGTTCTTAGATCCCTCACATACATCGCAGTAAGTGGAAGCCAAATCTGGACGAGTGGCAGTTACAAGGTATTCCAGGCAACCCAGCCTATCTTTGAATAAATTCCTGTTAATTTTATCAATTTTTTTTATATCATCCATTATTACTCCCGTTACTTGAGGTGTACTTTCAGCGTGACATTCATTCATTTTAAACCTTACCAATATTTCCTCCATAGATTTTTCCTGATCTAGTGAAAAATCATGAATCTTTACTCTGAACTCTGTTATTCAGAAACGAGTCGTTAACATATTACCGCCCACTACCTTTATCGTTAAATGTTTCTTTAAATTCATTATCAAGTTGTCAATGAGAGTGGTATTCTCTCCTACGATGAAACAATGTTGTACATAAAAACCAATAATCAATCAATATTTTATAAATCTGAGATTTTCACCTTACAGAGGATCTTCTCTCACCCTCGGCAATAGGACAATCCCAGTTTTCCGAGACGTATGGCAACACTACATGAAATTCATCTCAAAATTAGCAGAATTTATGTCATTATTTAGGAAAAAAGGATATAAATATATAAAAGGAACTGATTTGCATTTGCTGATGACTTAAAGTATACTTAATCTTAGATTTTCATAAGCATTTAAACAATCAATTATATCTTTATATTTTATTGTTATTAAATATTTTAATAGCATCTGCAAAAAAAAGGAAAGTGAAAATCCCACAATATTTGGCAAGTGTCAGGTTTCCTATACAAGTGCAAAGCTCTCTACTGAATATTTATATCGCCACCTCACAAACACTGCAGAATATTATTTTGTTGGAAAATTAATTGATCCAAGATTCAATGGTGCAGCATTTACAGCGGATGATATATCAGATTGTGAAAAGCACCCAATCACTATCTTCTCAATTCACTTCTTGCTATAGCTAGCTATGTTCTATGTTCAATCTAAGAATCTCATGCATGTTACGAATTGCAGAATATTTTAAAACACCTCAGATCTTTGGGTAATTGGTGTTATTTTATTTATTAAGGTGTAATATTTATTCAGGATGGTTTCATTAACTTCTACAAGGACAAATAATCCACATTATTCTTTTTGTTTGCTCTGGTTTCCATTACTTCAACACCACAGTAAACTACTCAAACCTCTCAGATAACCCAGTTTAGAGAGAAGTACATCTAACTTTTTTAATATAAAGAATACTTCTTGCAAATGAAGCATTTCTTGCTTAGAAGAAGCAATAGCTATTAAAAAGTATTGGTGACCTTCAGTGTGAGGGCTTTGAATAGGAATTCAATGTAACTTGTGATCAACATCTTTGTTATAGCTGAAGAGAATACACTTCCATCTCCATCTGAACTGCAATCCATGTATGGAAGCAATAAGACTCCATTACCTCCTTACAAGAGGATGTGCCCTACTCCTAGAGACAATGGGAGTGTATCAAATTCGTCTGAGAATAATGCTAGTCCATCACCAGAACAGATATTGCAAGAGCAAACATCACCAATATTGAATCCACGTAGGTCACGCAATCCATTTGCAAAGCCAAAGCAGATACCATCTGCTGGTTTGGGGCCCCCTGGTGCTATGGGGCGTCCCAACTATTTTAGTGCTTTGCGTAAATTTGATGGCATTTACCCCATGGATTTAGACTCAAATGTCGTAATTTTGAGCAGGTGAGTGATATTTTGTGCAATTAAGAGAATTGTAAAATCATTATCTTTTTCTTGCATTAACTTGTAATAAACCATAAAAATGTATGTTTTCTATATTACAATTAGTATACTTCATCAATATGACATAGGTAATGTTCCAGAATATGTTTTATTGCTTGAGGTTTAAAATTATAATGGGTCATCTAAAGTTTAGTTTATTAACGAAGAAACATACGTCTAATAACATTTCAAAATCTGTTACAAATGATCAACATAATTTGTCAATAAAAGAGTTTGATTTGTAGAATAATGTTGTAGAGCTTGTATTAACAAGAAAATATTATTTGTAACTGAAGTAATTTCTTCGTGTAGGAAGGACAGGTCAAGTTAGGGTATTGGAAAATTCTCATCCATGTTACATGCTGTGATTGAGGGACTGCATGTGTTTTGAAAGGTACATATTGAAATTGTTCTCCTGGGCTCATTCACCTCAGAGTTGTTTGTCTGTGACAGACTGTGGTGTGTTTGTTTATTTTTTGTACTCATTAATCCTATCAAATTTAACTGTTAGATTATGATGATAATCACGCCGATGCCATGTTCAACATAACTGTCACCATAAAGAAACGGTTTTATAAACAATACCTTGCCTAGCCTATAGAGATAAGATTTTCACCTGTAATGGCCATATTATAGAGACACTTAAAATTCATTATGATGAAACCATGAGTTGCATTTGCAACATCCCTGCACATATCTGAGCAGATGTGGTAATAATGAGAAGTGCCGGACCAGCAAATATGTATTAAAATGTTCACGAAAATCACATCCTGTAGATTAAGGTTTGAAAAATGTTTCTTTGAGCTTTTTAGCCTCAAAATTTCAGTTTTTAATGTCCTAGGACACTTTGTTTTAGAGTTATTTATTATTATTATTATTACTATTATTATTATTATTATTATTATTATTATTATTATTATTATTATTATTATTAACTTGATTGGCCACATTGGACCACTTGAGTCGTTCCACTTCACTTTTTACTGTTCATGGGTGACTGTCGAAGGTGTCACCACCTTGAGGTAAGGATAAATCCTCGAGTTACAATTCTGAATGTTATTCAGAAAGGTGATAATGAGAGATGGAGGATGATGTTATGAGATAGGTGAAGGGACAATCACACATACACAACCATGCCCGAGGCAGGACTCGAACCCGCGGTCCTTCGGTCCATAATCGCTACGGCACTACTGCCTTAGCGATCTCGGCCACCGGATCGGCTTTAGAGTTATTTAATGATATAGATTCAAAATTCTGCCAAATGCGTTGCGGGTAGCAATTTGGAATGGATATTTAATTTTGTTGTACAGTGCCATCAAGTGATTTTTTTCTGATATTTTAATAGTTACGTTGCTATTCTGGGCGGAGATGAATCCAACAAATCAGAGATAATTAAAATTGGTCCAGCCGTTCTTGAACACAATAAATGCTATAACTAACCAGACTTTGTGTGTGTGTATTAAAGGAAATAAAATTTTAAAAAAAAGTCATTGCAAATTACAGGTTAACAGGCTGTGATTGAACAATATTTTTGCTATTTAAACATGTTTAAGATACTGCTACACTTCTCTGTTAGGTACTTTAGGTCTTCGGAGATAACAGACAAGAATCAGCCACTTAATCCTGAAAATCAAACAGATGAAATATTGAAAGATGTATCAAACACAAGTCCTCAAGTATCAGCAGATGACATCCTTGAAGAGGACAAAATTTTTTCAGGATATTCTTGTGATAAAGAGAACACTTGTGATTTAAATTCTCACCAAAATGAATCGGTATTAGATACTATTGAGGCTGCTCAGAATAAATTGAGTTCACCCTCCCAACTGAAACATGTAAATATTTCAAATGCAGACATTGGTGAGAGTCTAGATGCAAGTGCAGATGAAAGGATGGAAGTTGAAATTGAAGAGGAGGATGATGTTTTGAGACAGCAAGCTGAGAATAACACTAAACCCAGAAGCCCAATACCTTCTTTTAATTGGAAGCAGTTCACAAGCAAAAAGTCTCTTTTATCCTCAAAGCTGGGCAGTTCACAAGCAGCTAGTAAGACATTCAAAAACCCGTTTCGAAAGAGGAGTGCTACCAAATCTATTGAATTACCACTGCAAGTCAATGAAGGGATAAATAATGCAGAAGTTGGAGAATCTCCTTTTACACATACTGCTTTAGAGACGATTCCAGAAATACATCTGGAGACGCAGGAAATGTCAGAATTATCTAAGGGATCTCCACAAGCAACAAATTGCTCTAGGGACAGAATTCCTAACTCCTCCCAAGATAAATCTGACCAACAGTTAAAGGATGTCCCTTGCTCATCCTCTCCAACTGCCAAAGGGCTCTGTAGTGGAAGAACGATGTCTTGTGGAGATGAGATGGTGCCATCAGAAGATTCATTGTGGCATCAGAAGCAGCAGGAGGAGGATCCATGGAGCTGTGGCTCCAGTGACAGTGGCTACCAGGGCTCTCAAGAAGCACCCAAGGTGAGCATGCTCTTATTTCCCTGCACCTTATTCTCCTGAGACATAATATCTTGGAATTTTCAGAGCCATTTACTTTCAAATCAAAGTTCCTCTGATCAAGATGAAGCAGTTTAGTCCTATTTACTTTAGATCTTCACTTTCACTTGGACATTGTTAATCTTTGCCACAAGAGGGAAGTGGGAGTAAATAAGAATTTCAATAAATATTCATTTATTAACTGTGCATTTTCTTAGAGCCAATTAAAGACAGTCTATCCCAAACTTTGAATGGTGCTGATTGATGATTTCAAAAAGCAAACCTCACATTGCAGTTCAGTGTAATTAGGCAATATTCTTGGCATATTAGGTGCTGGTGATTGTGTCACAGGAACGTTCAGTTCTATCATTCCCCATTATCATCATTAAATTATCACATAATTGGTTTGATTGATGGATTTCACAAAATGAAAGGTCTTAAGTGCTTTTGTGTGTTTTTGTTTTGATGTGTTCACCTTTGGACAGATTGAATGCATTTATTTGTGTTTGTTAGTCTGAATACATCTAAAATTTATTTTGTCCCACTTACTTGTAATTTAAAAGCCTTGTGTTTACAATTCATGATCGAGCCAAACCCCTGAAATGGTTTCTAAATGCATTTAAAAATATAACCTGTGAATATTGTATACATGAAAACATGTGTTTCTGCAGTCTGTTTGGCATTGCACTGATAAGAAGAGAAATCCTTCAACACCTGCTCGGAGTACACCTACAAGGCATCGGTTGGGTCTTGGTCTTGCTCAAGCTCCACCAAAACAAAATCTCCTAGCACATTATGGATTCTCTAAAAAGTGAGTTTCAGTCACTTCTGAGCAACATTGATTCAAACATATTTTGATTAATATGATTTTTACCATTCATGGTCTTTGTTTCAGGAGAAAACTATCTCATTAGCATATCTGTGCTGAGAGGCTGAAAGGGGATATATGTTCCTTGTTCATTGCATCATTGTTCTAGTTCCAAATAAGGGGAAAATCCATTTTGTATTAATGTTTCTGTAAATATATTAATATCATTTTATATATAATTGCACTCAGTGTTGAATGAAATAAAATAAAAATGAATGTTTTTCCGTGCAGCTATGGACCCTTAAGTATTGATTGATTTCAGCATGGAACATCAAAGGTACATGTTCATTGCTTATGTTGAACCACCAAATTACTGTTAATAAGCATTTTTGACAAAATCTGATGTTAGAAATATTTGCTCCCGTGTGCTTCAGATTTCATATAATAGTCCTGTCGACAAAATTTGCAAACATCCTACTCCTCTTGTATCTAGCAGAATGAGAGCTCAAGAAAGCATGCACAGATAATCCATTTGCCATTCTTGTGGTTTTTAGTTGTCTTTAATGTCTGAAATACTGATATATATGTAGCGTTCCAATGTCATGTATCTAGGTGAGAAATAAACCTGTGTATTTGTAAAATATTTATAAAGTATAGGAAATATTATTAAGTTGTAATTATTCTGACTTGAGTGTATGTATTAATATTTGGAAAAGAAAGATACTGCGGAAATTGTACGACGATCAACAGTTTAACATTCAGGTATACTTTTGTCTTTTTGGTCAATTAAAGTACACGTTTTCAAAAAAACCATGTGGTAGTGGAGCACGACTTATGGCATAATATTTATTCGCATCATCAGGTGTAAACAAAAAATTAATATACTTGCCTGTAAATAAAAAATTAATAATATTGCTTTGAATAAAAGTATTAAAAATAAAATTTCACAGTAATCAGAGATGAAATTGTGGAATAAAACGGGTAGAAAAAAGTATTGTGACTTACTAGAATGTCACACGAGTGTGATTCGTGATATGAATTGATGGATTGAGAATACAAGTTGTGGCTATTAATTTCCAGGACTGCTCTAATAACACCAGAACAGATTATGTGAAAAACAACCCTTTAATATGTTTTGAAGTAATTCCCATCTGCCATAATACACTTCTGTACTCTGCTGTGTAAGTTGTGGAAACAACTTTTAAAAAGTCTTTTGGAAGGCTCTTCAATGTCGACGTCACGTTCTTCTTGATGTCTTCAACATCCACAAAGCGTGTTCCTTTGATCTTTGATCAAATCAGCTCCATGACCTCATGCTTAGCCAAAAAGCTCTTCATTGGCAACGCAATGTGGGGGCGGACGTTGTCATGCAACAGAAACCAACTCCCATTCTGTCGAAAACGGGGACGTATTCTGAATTTTTTGTCGGAGTCAGGCAAGAACTTCTACATAAAACTGTTCTGTAACAGTACTGCCTGATGGGACAAATTCATGATTACGTCCTTCACTATTAAAGAAAGCGATTAACATGACTGACCTTCGATTTTTGAAATCAAAATTGTTCTGTGTAGGGAAGCTAGGAGACTGTCATTCTGTGCTGTCTCTTAGTTTCAGGGTCGTATTGATAGCACCGTGATTCGTCACCCATCACTATCGAATGGAAACACTGGAACGCAGGGTTAGCGTGAGCATTGTCCAAGAGTTCACCACACGTGTCCAACCTGACTTGCTTCTGAACGTCCAATATACCGAGCGGGACAAATTTGAAACACACCTTGCATTTCAGTAGGTCTTGCGTCAGAATTTGGCGAACCACCTCATTGTCGATGTTCAGATCTCTGGCCAGCATTCGAATAGACGACCCGCTGTTACAAGTTCACGAACTTTCTCAATTGTTTCAGCTGTACGCTCGGAAATCGGCCTTCCGATGTGGGCGTCATCTTCAACACTTTTACGGCCGTCCCGAAAACGTCCATACCATTCAAATGTGCCGGAACGGGATTATGCTTGCTCACCATACTCCTGCTTCGACATTGCATGTGTTTCTGTCGCACTTTTGCCCAGTTTAAGGTCAAATTTGATGTTCACCCTTTGCTTCATTTCCACACCACCACTTCAACAGATACGTTTCCACGCGTCTTTCACAGTCAAGCACGTGTCTACAACTGATGCATGCGCAGATATACTACTTCGCAGGGAGCAGCTATACTACGTAAATGAGAAATTGTATGGCAACTTTACTGTAACCACCAACTCACCCGATTACCTGATTCCTTCGGCGATTCAGCTTTGCCCTGCTTCGTCGGCAGACTCCCTAGAGAGAGGCATGCATGCTTGCCTAACTACTTGAGAGAAAGACTCCAGCATTTTCATAAACTACTTTAATCACTTAGTATTGTGTGTGGGTGAAGCCCAGTAACATGAGTAAACTTATAACTAACTTTAATCTTAACTTATTAACGGCCGGTATGGCTAGAGTTCATTTCAGCTCCGGTGCCTTTGCCCTCCCGGGCGGTCGTGATCCAGCTCACAGGTGCAGCGTTCGGGCATCTCAGCGCCCAGCAGGTCTGGCGGCTACGGCGTTTCTTGCACCAGGCCCCTTTGTGGCGGCCCCGAATTAGGCCAGCGTTGCTTGGCTTCGACCGGCGGCTCCTCAGAGTGCACGGCGGCGGGAACGCGCCCGGACTATGACGGGTCGTTTCGCGACGTTTTCACGTCCCCGGCTCGTACTCACATGGCCCTTTCGGTCAGGCACCCACTAGTTGTGTCCTGTCCCATCGTCTGGCTGTCGTCACATGAGTCGGGTTGCGATATGGCGAGGCGGCCAGGCACTAATTAAGTGGCCTCGCTATTGCCTCAGAAGCAAGTCTCCTCCTCGCTACCTCTGATACAAGTGATCGATCTGTATCTCTGCAGCCCCACAGAAAGGCTCGCGTACCACGTGTTTCCTCCCCCGCATTGTCTATTTCTATTGAATGTCGCGCCACCTGTAACCCTTCCGCCTATCACGGCGCCAGCGGCGAAGCCGCCCCCTGCAACCTCCCCCGATGTAACCTACGTCACCTAAATTCCCGGAAATAGGCGCGGGTAATTCCGTTGCTCGGTGAAGGGGTGTGGGTGGCGTGCTTCCCCACACGACGTGCGCCCGGCGCGGGTCTGTGCAGAACAAAAGAGGCGCCTTTCCCTCAGCGCGCTAATCGGTTCTCTTCAGGTACAGCAGGAAATGGCATTTCCGGCTGCTCTTAACGGCGGCGCGGTTCTTAATAAAATAAAATAAATATATGGCTCGTCTCGTCATCCGCGATGTGCGACCGTCCCATTACACTACACATCGTAATTGAGACATTGTATTACGAAGGGGCGGATTTTAATGACCCAAAACATCTTCAAAAATGATCAATAAAATGCTCTCAAAATATTTTTTAAAGTGCTCTAAAGGCAAAGAAATATGACGTAAGAAATGTGATCAAAACCAGTTCGGATGAACTCAAACTGTTGAATAAGTTACTGATGTAATCGAAGCTTCAATTCGTTCAAGTGAAACTTCTTCATTTCTTTCAGCTTTCTAACTTGTGGTTTGGACTGTTCTTTACCAGAAGATTTCTTTAGTTATCCCCAAATCGGCTGAACCGCCAATAGCACTGACACGTCACAGGAACAGTAGATTACATATAATTGCTGGCATTACAATTTTTAGCCAAGAAATCGAAGAGGCTACCAGATCTAGGTACTTCGAATTTTTTGAAACAGTTGAATCTCGTAAATATTATTTGAAGCAAGTACCATTAAAATCGATTGAATCGGCAAAAAAAGCATTAATTATGGGGAAAGGTAAAAAATGAGTCATATCCTTTTGCCATAACAAAATGAATTTCTATTGGTCCTACAGGCATTTTTTTCTAACGTGAAAACAAAAAAAAATTACATTTCATCCGCGAAAAAATTACGTCCGCTCCCATAGCTTTCTCTACACTATGCAGAGAGTAGCAGATGTTTTAGAAGGAATAGTTTTCACGACTGACTTACATTGTTCCAATTGGTCATTCCTAAAAAAGGTTATTTTAAGAATTTATACATTTCATGTCGAAAGCTGATAAGACATGTGAATTCAGTCTTATTTATTTTACGTCAAACCAGTAAATCAGTGTGACATATTAGGAGAAGTATATTCTTTGCACGATTTCGTAATTGTGTAATCCTCACCTTAAGTCATACAAGTTGAATACTGGAAGAAGTGGGCGTTTTTAGCAAGAAATGATAAGAAAGTATTTACATTTGAGTAATAAAATTTATTTTCAAGGGCAAATCAGCTATAGATTTGGGCACTTATCTCGTGTCCATGAAGGAATATAATTCCTGCCACGATAATACGGAGAACGAAAATTTGAATAACTATTTCCTACTGAACTCTAGACGATTCGCACAAATAGTTTAGTTACAGGTGTGTAAAATGATTTTGATTGGAATTATGGAAAATTGATTTAAATTAGGATTTATTACTAAGCATAATAAAGCTCACATGACTGAACAGACAATACACGAAAATCATTTCAGTTGGACTTCCATGTATCAAACTTTTATGCATATAAGTTCTCTATAAATCGAATATTTTGTTCTATTTTTCTGTGTTTCAGCATTGCCCCGGGCCCAAAAGAGTATAGCTCCGGCACTGATTTTCACTGTATGTAATTTAGTAAACCCAAACTGCAAGACCCCTTGCTAGTAGATGTACTAAATTGAAGTTTTTTTTTTTTTTTTTGTGTTATTACAATTTTCGTCTCTACTTCAAATGGCTATACTGTTTCAAAATTATTGCCTTACGCATTTATTTTAAACTAAAAAATTACATTCATAATAATTTGCCGCCACATGCCTAGCCTTTGCTGATCTCGCGATCTTTTCCGGAGATGAACAAATAGCAATCCATCAGATTGAAGTCCTCAAAGAATGTGCCGAGAAAGTTTTTTCCTTTTCGAAAACAGAATTCATGGCCACAAATCACATCAAAACAGAAAATTTAATAACAAAAATGGAACTATAAACAAGGTTGGTCACTTCAAATACTTAAGCGAAGTTATTGAACCTATAGGTACAGAAAGATTAGCACAAAAAGCACGGGAACTCAAAATGCGGAAAGCCTATGGGAAAGTTGCGATCATCTACAATAAAAGATGTATAAATATCAACACGAAAGTTCGTCACTACACTACTGTTATCAAAGCTGAAACACTACGCCTGCGACACCCTGAATCTTAATTTCAAAGGAGACCTCGCGAATATCAAGAAATCCGGAAGATCCTTGGACTAAATCTCACAGACGAAGGATACCGTCTACAATCACAAACTGTGACAGAAAAATACTCCACCATCGAAAGCCGATTTCCGCACACGACGACTGAAATTCTATGGGCACATTATGAGACTAGATGACAACCGATTAACAAAGAAAATTTTTGACATACTTATAGAAACTAAAAATGACAAGTCTGGGTAAAACGGTCCAAATTGATCTAAAAAAACGCCAACATCTCACCGGGAGACATCGAAGATGGAAACATCTTCAGACATAAGATACATATCCACATGGAAATTGTTCCACTAGACAATCAAAGATACCAAGAGGAAAATGGACACATGAACGTCGTGCGTAAGCACTGCGAAATGATAAAAACATGCTGGAAGAAAAATAAAAGCAACTAGTCATGATTTGCTTTATGTGATCCTCTAAGGGTATAAACAATATAAATAAATAATTTGCCGCCATTTTGAAAAACTGCTTTGTGATGTAATTTTAATGTCTCGATTGTTGTTTTATATCTCCATCGGCAGTTCGCCCATCACTATTTGCTCAAAGGAGGGTCAAGATGAATGCTTCCCCCTTATGAAAATTGGAGACTTGAAGAAGAATTCTGAGATTAATGTTAAGTGCCGACTCTGATATACTATGGTGCTATGTTTCTAGCGGCACGACCGAGAAAGACACGAAATACCGTGAGATATTCTATCGTGAAGACAGGCCCTGACGCGCCACGTTGAGAAAACCGAAATACAATAAAGGAAACAAACCGCGGCAATAGCATAATTCAGCCCAAAACTTACTAATTCTCTGGGAAACGCTTACACGTACACCAGGACTTTGCCCCACATTTTTCCATCAAACGGCCAGTTTTACCCTAAAAACTTGCCGCCAAACGATGTGACATCAGTTTGGACATCTTGTAATCCTTATTTACATCAGAGAGTATATTATTAATACACGATTTACATCATGCAGCAATATTACCAGGGTGTATGGATGAGAATATTTCTTCAACTGGAATCATTGGTGGTCATTAAATACTAAAAAAGCTTATATACGAATGAAAATAATGTACATCGTCCTTGGAACATTAAAACCTATGGTATAAATAATATAAGAAATTAAACATTGCACCTATATTCAGGTTTTGAGCGTGTCGTCGCTCTAAGCATAAAAAAGAAACAATATTATTGTTCCAAAATGTGAATAAATCGTGTAACCCAAGTATCACAAATAATATTTGTATTTCCAATAGAAATGAATTAAATAATCATAACGTATTTGCAGTATAACTTCATTTAACAATATTAAATTAATAAATCATCGAATGTACGTAGTATTATTACTGTGCTAGGTTATTCGCTTCTCTCTGATCCACGCCTGTTTGTATTTCTTAAAATAATTCTTCACGGGAATTTAAACAATGGTGGTATAATGTTACGGTCATGTTTACAAAAGCATCGAAATGTGTTACAGTTTCAAAATAGTTTATCTAATTCTCGTAAGTATTTTTCCCAGATTTCATTTGCTACCACTGACATGAAGAGGTTTGAAATTTGAATGTAGGTTATAACAAGCTCTTAATCTTTCGGTTCCAGACTTGCGATCGTTTGGTTTCAAAGGTTTACTTTCACTTCTAAAACCAACTACACCATCTGTTGCCATGAGTAAAGACCACAGATTGATTTGGATTGATATGGAGGTTTGTATGTATTTTACAAGCAATTAGCCATATAAAGTATTAAAATAATTTGGAGATTCAAATTTCAGATGACAGGACTTGATCCTGTGTCAGACCATATTTTAGAAGTGGCTTGTATCATTACTGAGGGAAACTTACAAATAGTGGCCGAACATACTCCTCTGGTAATTCATCAGTCTGATGAGATACTTGCATCAATGAATGAATGGTGTGTAAAGCATCATGGGCAGGTAAGATATTATGCATCAAAATATTCAAAAACCATTGCTGTAAATATTTTTCTTCTGAATTTGGTATTATTTTGTGAACAGTCTGGCTTAACGGAAGCTTGTCGCAAGAGTCATACTTCGTTGCAACAAGCAGAAGATCAGTTGCTGACATTTCTTAGGGTACACACTCCATCAGGTAAAATATTCATAAAATTTCAATGACTCCCCCAATTTTTTTCTAAATATATAGGTGAACTGAATTCATACCCCTCAAAATGGAGAAAATATTACCAACTTTTTGTGTTAACCAGTATTCATAATTTGCAAAATACATATCACTTTTTAAACAATGACTGACATAACAAATACTAATATATCTTTATATAACCTAACACCAGAAGGGACACAAAAATACCCAGCTCCTATGTAGAAGTAGTCAACTACTTAGGAATCATTCTACAACCTTCAGAAAGTCTTCACAAAACATGTAGTAGAGAGGGCAGCTCAAGCAATCTCTGCAATCAATGATATTAAGCTTTTAAGACAACTGAGCCTTAACATAGCAATGAAAATTTTCAAAGCAAAAATTAGCCCCCACATCATCCTATGTGATAGAGATCATTTGGCTGAAAACTCACTGAAAAGAACCTGCTAGTACTAGAAAAAGTAAAAGTCACATTCTTAAAAAAGAATATTGGGAGATTCCAAAACAACTAAATCAAGCTTAGTTTACAAGCTGGCCAGAGAAACTCTGCTGATAGAGGGTTTAAGGCTTCTACTCCTCCTTCCTCTCACAATAGCAACATAACATGTCAGAAAAGCAAAAGAAAAAAGGAGGCAGATATGGCTGTAATTCTGTGCCACAGAAGCAATGACAAACAGAAAATGGACAACAATGAACAGTGAGATGCATGTGGTCACAAGGCTGGCAGTTCACAGTTTCCCCTTTTTTTAACGTTGCAAATCTAAGCCCTTCCATGAGCTAAAAGAAACGTGTATGCGATAACCTGTATTCGTTATCAAATAGAGTGGTGCAAGCAAAGGAAATTATCTCCAAACGAATACGCTAAAAACAAAGTGAAACTCGCAACATGAGTTGGAAACAAATGCACATCTGTGGGCATTTCAGGTTATTATATGACCTAACTAGAAGCCTATATCTGAAATTATGTGATTCAGATAAATGATTTACATGGTTTAGCAGCTGCAAAATTATTATTATTATTTCTGAAACGTCCATTTTTCTAATAAATCTAAATTATATATTTGCTGTGCTTATTATTGTAATATACTGTGTATCGCTGTAGTTATTTATTTAGTTTTTTAAATGCACAGAACATTTCTGTATTATAGAAAAAGTGCTAGGTTTCAAAAAGCGTGAAGCCCATGATACATGCTCTGTGTGGTTCTGTGTTAAACTGGCCCTGGCAACTGGAAAGTGTTCATCAGGATTACATCACTGCTCTGTGTGATCCTTGGGAAAGTGGTACAAGGTAATGCCTTAAGGTACGGAGCCGTTAATGGAAATAAAGAATGTTATGATATGAAATACATTTTTAACATGATCTTAAGGGGGACTCGAGATTTTTGACATTGTAAACTGACGATCTACAAAATAAAAGAAGTTAAGTTTCTTGTAGATTCTTTGCTTTTTTCTTTTCATTGTCTTTATTGATGAAGTTGTTTTTTTTGACTCGATACATTTACAATTGCCTTCAGGAACAACAAAAGAAAGGAAGTAGTGTTAATGAAATTGTGTGAGAACTAGAGTCGGATCTAGACATTCAGTCCACAGGGAGACACAAATTGGTCCAAGGCACATATGTTTTCAATCATTTTTATTTTCTTGAGTGAACTGGTGAACACAAATTGAACCTATTATGTACAGAATGAAGTTCAAATGAATGTGCCAAAGGCCAAGGTATCAGAAAATTTGTATTAAGAAAAACCCAACTTTTTTTAAACAAAAAATTTAAGAACAAATGAGGAAATGCTGTTCAGTTTTATTACAATTAATTCAAGAATGATCATTTGATAATGCGATGTAATGAACAAGATTTGGGAACAGAAAGTAGTACCTCAGGAGTGGAGAATATAATTAGTGTGCAACTTTTTTGAGGAAGGTTACAGAAAATGTTGCAAAATGTATGAGAGCATAAGCCTCTTTCCAGTGTTATCACCAGTGCTTGCAGCCACAATGAAACCCATGCTAACAGAAACAGTGAAAATATTCAAGGAAAACAAGAAAGGTAAATGTACATGGATCCAATATTTCCAACACAGAGCAAGGCACACTTTTCTCCATGGTTCCACTTCTTGAGATTTTAGAGAAGGAAGAGTAGAAAAAGAAATGAAATTCATGTATCAGCATTAATCAAATTTATTGATTATGTTAGAGCTTATGACAATGCGTACATATTGAAATTGTATTGTGTTGGAAAAAAGTAACAATATCATAAAATGTAATTAAAAAATATTCAGATTTCATAGCAGAAATGGGAGATAGTAATTGAGAAATTAGACATATGATATCAAAAGAAAAAATGATCTGCACCAGGTTGCTAACTTTAACTACTACTTTTCCAGATTTACTTGAGCTCTGTGAATTTAATGTGGTAATAGAAAATTCAAGCAAGAATGAAGATAACAATAAATCAGAAGCTATTGACTATTATATTCAGATGAAGATTTAATCATGAAAAAACTGGCAAAAAGTGGCAAAAAGTACCCTTTGAAATGTTTTGTAAAGAATTCCAAATAAAAATATCAAGCAAACCTAAAAAACCTGAAGGCTCTGCAGAAACAGCTTGGAGTCAAATTTATAGAATAAATTTTAATTTTTTATTCTATTTACTCTTTTATTCAAATTTATAGAATAAATTTGAATAAAAGAGTTGATAGAATAAAATATTTGAATGAAACTATTGAGAAATGCAAAAGAAACAAATTAAGAAACACTGGACACAGTGTGAAAAGAGACAAGCTTTAGAAACCATTATATCAAAAGCAGTGCTGATATGAGTTAAATAATGTGGATACTGAATGTAGAGAAATTAAGAAGTTTGGAAGCAGCCTAAATTAAGTTTTTAAAGCTTAGCTTAGATATAAATATTAGAGATATAGAAGAGACATAGATATAAAAGAGCCAAATTTGGAAGGAGAAAATTGGATCTGAACAAAAAATTATTAGAGGAAACAAAAGAATATCAGAGGTAATGAGGGAAACCTGCAAGGAGTTAAACACAGCACTGCTTCATAGCAGGAACTTCTTTTTAACTTCGGCTTCAGGGGTTGTTGAGAGGTTAAATTTCCAATTATTCTGAGTTTCAAAATCTTAATAATGATGTCACTGGTATATTTCTGTATTTACAGGAAAGTGTCCTTTAGCTGGGAATTCTGTATATATGGATCGACTATTTTTGTCACGGTATATGCCACGTCTGGACCGGCATATTCATTACCGCATTGTGGATGTATCCACAATCAAGGAACTTTGCAGGTGAGTCTTTTCATGAAGGAAGATGTTAAGATGTTTTCATTCTATTCATCCTGACCTACTGTATGAGATACGTCATACACATGCAATTTTGACACATTATCAGGTGTTGATGTAAATAGGTGATCAAAGACTGCTCAAATTCAAATATATATGATTTCAGTTTATTAACTAACTTTTTCTGGTTAGCTCCCAATTTGTTATAAAGTACTTATTCTTTAAATTATTAAAATGCATTAATAGGGAAAAAGAATTTAATTACACAACAGTTTAACTGAGTCATATCCATTTATGATTATTTATTAATATTTATTTATTTATTTATTTATTTATTTATTTATATATTTATTTATTTATTTCCAAAGAGGCTTTCAACCTAATACTTACCAACATGAGTATACGAATTGATCATTGACAACTGTAACTTGTGAAGACCAATTACCTGAGTTACCTGATTACTCAATATAGTCACTGAAGCTGGTTGACATGATGTCGGAACCACAGAAATCTGTTGTTGAGTTCAATTGAAAAATATTTCTTTCAATTATTTGAAAAATATAATACTTTAACCAGATAATTATTTTTAAAACCTATTGTACAAAGAAATGTTATCATAGATTGGCTGATCATATTTCCTTGAGTCAAAATTAGGACATAGGAACTGCAAAATTGGGATAAGGTTATGTTTCCATTCTGTATTCACGAGTACAAGAATAACATTTAATTACATGAACACATTAACATGAAAAGTGTTTTCCACAGTTTAAACCTGTAAAAATTTAACATGGAATTTGAAGCAGAAGGCACCTGTCTTTTATAACTAAGTTCTGTAATGATAAAATCTTACAAAACAAATTTTGTCATTTAAAATCTTATTATAAAAGTTTTTAAACTTCCGGGCATTATTTTGCAATTAACGTAGCTATCATTGTCTCAGCAATTAATCTGGATTTTTTCTTTGACCACACATTGGACATGGACAGAGAGAAGTTTTCAATGGATGCTGTATTTCCTGATAGACATGTTGAACTCTACAATATTTCAATATTCTTGAAATTGTACTTGTGTTTCACTAATTTTGAAAAAGTCTCCGCCTATCTGTCAGATACAGAAATATTTTTTTCCATGCCTTCAGTTGTCTTAGAATTATTGATTTTGTGAGGGTCAACTGATTGCAGTATTTTTGTTATTGTTTTTCTTTCTCTCTAAAAAAAAAGGGTAAACAATACATATTTCCATAAAACAAGGCTATATTATAAGGTTATGGGTCATCTCGTACATACTTTAAAAGTGGTAGTCATTAAAAATGGGAAGTATGGTCAGTTGGTCACCCCAATTATAGGATACATTAAACTTATTATGTGAGGGTACAATATTTACAATGTTTTAGAACCTCTGCAATACACATTTTTTTCTATTATCTAATATGATTTCTGGTATTAACATGTAACTGGCAACTTCGTTGCCATCGATAACTTCCTATTTATTTTCATTTAAGAGTTTCTGATGAGAAGTTTACCAATCATTCAAATCACTGCTCCACTTAGCCAATGCAAGTCTGGTTCTAAGCTACTCTATAAAAATATAAGTGTTTTAAAATGGACTTTCTTCTAAAGATTTATTTTTCTGAAAATATAATGGAATTGTAATTAGATATATAAGATAAAAGGCCCAAACTATTATAGTTAAGAATGGCTTTTAAAGATTATTTTAAAAGCAATATTAAGATATTTATATTCATGACTATAAAGTTAATCAATTAAATTTTTCAAAGAATTGGATGCCCTGACCGGAATTCAAACACGTGACATCTGGTTTATGCACAGCGGCTTTGACCCCTAAGCTAGTAGGGCAACTAATCCTTTTAACAGTTTTCAGGCAATTATTGCTCCTTGTCTGTATATAATTGTTTGGGAAAGGTGACAAGTATGTAAAGTTAATGTTATTTCTTATTAAACATTTCAAAGCAGGAAATCTTATCCATTCATTCATTCATTCATTTATCCATTCATTCATTCATTCACTCTTTTTCTTCTTCTTCTTCTTCTTCTTCTTCTTCTTCTTCTTCTTCTGTTTCTTCTTCCTCCTCCTCCTCCTCCTCCTCCTCCTCCTCCTCCTCCTCCTCCTCCTCCTCCTCCTCCCTTCTTCTTCCTCCTCCTCTTCTTCCTCCTCCTCCTCCTCTTCTTCTTCTTCCTCCTCCTCCTCCTCTTCTTCCTTCTCCTCTTCTTCTTCCTCCTCCTCCTCTTCCTCTTCTTCCTCTTCCTCTTCCTCCTCTTCTTCCTCCTCCTCCTCTTCCTCTTCTTCCTCCTCCTCCTCTTCTTCTCCCTCCTCCTCTTCTTCTCCCTCCTCCTCTTCTTCTTCTTCCTCCTCCTCCTCCCTTCTTCTTCCTCCTCCTCCTCTTCTTCTTCTTCCTCTTCTTCCTCCTCCTCCATTCTTCTTCCTCCTCCTCCTCCTCCTCCTCTTCTTCTTCCTTCTCCTCCTCTTCTTCTTCCTCCTCCTCCTCCTCCTCTTCTCCCTCCTCCTCCTCCTCTTCTTCTTCTTCTTCTTCTTCTTCTTCTTCTTATTATTATTATTACTAATTATAATAATAATAGTTTGAAGGCTTGGCAACTGAGGCTTTTAGCCTTTTTTACTGATTATTGTTCAAATGAATCATATACTATTTAAAGTTTGTAGAAATGATTAGCTCTTTCAGGAACATTATTGTTTTATCAGTTGCCGCCTTGTTCGTTCCGAGGTCTTCCTTCATGTGGCTTCTCATGCCGTATCTGTCCCTAAGTCTTGAGAGATCTACACAATCTATCAGAATATGTTTCACTGTTAGAAATCTTCCGCTGCCGCAGATGGGTTGTTCTTCATTTCTTAGCATGTAAGAAGTTATTCTTTAATGGCCTATTCTTAGTCTGGTTATGCACACTTGTTTTCGTCGAGGGTATCTGACATTTGGTGACAATTTGCTGATGTTCTGTAAATCGGGTTTAGTTTCGTGCTGTTCCACGTGGTCTGCCATGCTGTGAGAATCCACTTCGAAGAAGAATTTCTTGCATCTTGAGGTCGTACTTGTGTATCCATATCTGATTGGTTGTTTATGACATTTCTTGCTGCAGAATCGGCTTCTTCATTGCCTGGGATACCGATGTGTCCAGAGCACCAAATGAACGTAACTGATGCTCCTTGCTGCTCTAATTTGTGGCATAATATACGAATCATTTGTGGTTGTGAGTCTACAGATTGGCGTCTGTCTATTGCAGTGAGAAGACTTAGCGAGTTTGTGCAAATGAATTTTCTTGAATTGAGAGTTTCACAGGGTCGCAAAGATTGCAATTCTGCATACAATTCGGCAGTGTACACACTTGCTTTGGTGGTAGTGTCCAAGTTTTTTATATGTCTTCATTTACAAATGCGCTCCCTACCGATGTTTTATTTTTGAACCGTCTGTGTGGATTATTGTGTGCTTTTAAATCTATGGGAAGGAATTCTCTTTCCTTTACACTGGTAGTGTCGAGTCTAACATTTACCAGTGTGAGGAAAAAAAGAATGCCTTCCCATAGATTTAAGTCGTTTCTTCTTCTTCTTCTTCTTCTTCTTCTTCTTCTTCTTCTTCTTCTTCTTCTTCCTTCTTCCTTCTTTCTTCTTTCTTCTTTCTTCTTTCTTCTTTCTTCTTCATCATCATCACTGTAACGCCAACCCTTCTATTTCTAATTAGCGAAATTAAATTGTATAACTAAAAACAATATTGATTTTATTTGTGTTATTTATATACAAGTGAGTCGCTTACTAGCCTCATAAATGTACACATATGTAGTAATTAATTTGCCAACTATGAATTTCGTATTGTTAAAATAAACCATTCTCTAAATAAAACATATTGGTGGCTCTTAGAGTTCTTCTCCGTTTGTGCTCTACTGCTTGTTTATAAGGTCTGTCCCGAAAATAATGCGCCCATTTTGATTTTAAGAAATTTATAGGGAACAATATGAAGTCGGGCGGGGCCAAATCAGGACTGTAAGGCGGCTGGGGGAGCGTCCTCACAACACTGCAACAATTCTTGACACACATCCACTCCATTGTTGTTTTGGCGCAATCGATGAGCACTCTCGGGGCGAGTTTGGCGCACACCTTCCGCATTTGTACTGTAACGTTCCTCGTGGTGAATTGAAACCAACTCAATATTTAAACAATTACGTTTATTCGTGAACAATTATACACTAAAATCTACTTGGTCTATTTACAGATATATTACACTTAATTATTTCTCTTTACACACGATTCCGTTCTCTTGATGATTTATTTACACAGTTCACTCCTTACACACTATTTATTTACACAGTTCTCTTCTTCTACAGTATCAGCCAGTCCAATGCACTGTCCACGGTCCACTGCACTTGACCCAAATTCCCTGCGCAGACCACAATTCCCCTGCGCAGACCACAATGCCTTGCGCAGACCACACTTCACTGCGCACACCAGGCATAGTCCGGAACCGTCTAGTTCGGGGGGGAGGGAAGGGGCGCCGGCAGATGACGCAATCCGCGCGCTGCGAATTCCGGCATGTGATGCAATATTCGTTACAGTACGTTTTCCATCATAATCTTGTGCTCATTAGTTTTCGGAATGTCAAGCATTTCTGACATTAGGCGGACACTCAGTCTCCGACCAGAGTTCAACAATTCTCACACTTCGTCAACACAACTTTCATGTGACGACGTTCTCACGACCCCCGTTGAACGGTTTATGCCACCTCTTGCACTGTAAGTATGACATGCAGTCCTAACAGCTGTGACATACTCTGGTTGTGTTATATAATCGTCTGGAGCGCCGTATTCAGATTGGTTCCAGATCCCTTTATTTCAATACGCATGACTGTACCAGTTTTTTGGCTCTTAATTGTATGTAGAGTTCCATTTCAAACTAATTGTTTATAATACTTTCTCGCATTGTTTCTAAATGTTACGCATTCAGAATTTATTCAAATTCTGTCAGCCTTCATGTGTGTATTAAGT